TTCAGGTAAATTTTGTTTTGGCAACTTTTACATTTTAGGCAATCATTGTTATATGTCCATTGGAGTTGGGAGAGGGGGCTAATAAATTCAAATAAATAAAAAAAGATTTGCATTATGTCTAATTGACTGCATTTCATTGTTTTTCTTCCAATCTTTTGAGATAAATCTTTTTATCTGTTTCTGCATACGAAAAGAACAGTGGGTGAAACCGAGCCATTGATATCTTCAAAGTTTTGTAGCGAGGTGAAGAGAGGCAATCTTAGAATACAGGTAGTCCCCAAATTACAGCGATTTGTTTAGCGTCTGTTCAAAATTACAACAATATTAAGTGACTTATGACCAGTCCTCACACGTACAGCAGCATCCTGATGGTCACATGATCAAAATTTGGGCACTTGACTACCAGCAGGTATTTATAACGGTTGAAGTATCCTGAGGTCACATGACTGCCATTTGTAACCTTCCCAATTGACTTCCGATGAACAAAGTCAACGGGGGAAGTTGGATTTGTTTAATGACCATAAGTTCATTTAACAACTGCAGTGATTTTCCTAATAACTGTGGGGAAAAGATCATAAAACAGGTGCGGCTTACTTAACAACTGCTTCACTTAGCAAGGGAAATTCTAGTCACAATTGTGGTGGTTGGACGAACTGCCTGTATTTTCTAAAGCAGAGATCTTCAAACTTGGCAGCTTTAAGACTTGGGGACTTCAACTCCCAGGATTCTCCAGCCAGCATAGCTGGCTGGAGAATTCTGGGAATTGAAGTCCCCAAGTCTTAAAGCTGCCAAGTTTGAAGACCTCTGTTCTAAAGCCTATTTTTACATGTTGGCTCACTTACAACACAAACTAGGGCTTCCGTTTTAAATTTCATTTGGCTATTTGCTATTCATCTCTTGGCTTACGAGATGGCTGAAGAGAATGATTAGGACAGGATGATGCTTAAATAGCAGGCCACCGATACAATAAACACGGAAGGAGAAAAAGCAGTGCTAAAATGACAACAGAGAAAAGTGGCTTCAGCCTGTCTGAAGCCAGAGCAGCATGACAGTATGGAGAATATGTAAATAAAAACATCCGCGTGCATCTAAACTGGGAGATGAAAAACTGTAATGCAACAAAAACATTTCCCAAAGCAGACATTTAGGCTTCACGCCAGCTCTTTAAAAACCACTGTTAATAATAGTATAGTATCTGTTCTAGTAAGGGAAGCAGCTGTGAAGATAATCAATTCTGCATTACAGGAAACAACAAAGATCAGAATATTAATGTACTCTTGGGAGGGAAGGGACATTCACAGATATTTGGAATGCTGCACAGCCTTCTCCTCTCTTACCTTCGGCAGCTAAATATGTCAGTCAGGCAGGGTGTAGATTTTTCTTTACATTTTTGCCCGTAAAAATGTGGGTCTGAGGGAAGTCCTGCCTTAGCACTTGGCCACCACAGGTGCCCCGAACACGAGTGACGTTGAGATGGCCATGCCCCCCCCCCAGGTCAAACAGAACCCTGATGCGGCCCTCAATGAAATTGAGTTTGACACCCCTGCTCTAGAGTAGAGCCATAGAAACTGAAGGTTACAATTGGATGAAAATGGAAAAAAAACCACATCCTGCTTTGGCTATTGGTTGGGCAAGGAACAGCAGCATATCATTAGTCTCTTTCCTGTCCGTTGGTTGACAAACGACCTTAAATATATTGGTCGCACCCGTAGCAGTACGGCACGTGCCTTGCATGGGTAGGAATCCAGGTTGATTCCTTGAAGTGTCCCATTAAAAGGGTCTCAGAGGCATCTCCCCTTTCTCCCTCTTCCCTCTATCTAGCAAATTGGAGAGTAACTTTGAATCCAGAAGCACTCTTTCAAAAGAGCAGTGGGCTTAAGCCAGAAATGACTCTCTCCACGGATGAGCGTTTTCTAACTGGTAGAAGCGCAAGTTTAGTCCTTGGCTTGCGACCACAGTTAGAACCAGAATTTCCACTGCTTACGAACATAGTTCGTTAGGTGAGTCGCACTGAAATTTATGACTTTTTCACCATGTGTTCTGCCCCAGCTATGGATCCCATAGAACACAGCACACACAAAGTTTGTACAAAACTTAATTTACTAAAATAACTCAGTCTTTTTCAAAACAAAGGCTGTTAATAAACTTTCTTAACAGCCTACAAGAAACCAAAGATAAAGTAATCACAATCTTACTAAGGTTGGCAGAAAGCCCAGAAGCAATTTGCAGAGAATCCAGACGCGAAGTAGAGTGAACTAAAATTGTTCCCTACAAATTGCTTCAGTCGGCGTTCCTCCTTAAATAGGCTAAGGAAGTGGCCAATTAACCCCAAGCCTTACTCTCAAGGAGACCTCCTCCTGAGAAGCCACTCCTGCCTTTTGGCCGCTCTGTGCACCCGTGCATCGAGACGAGGCTCCTCCTCTTCGTCCTCTTCACTTAAAGGAGCTTCTGGAGGTTCTGAAAGCCCTGGCTGAATCCCTGCCACCCTGCCACCACATCTTTTCCAGCCTCCTCATTGTCTGACTTGTGTGCCAGCTGCACAGGCTGCTGGCGCAACACCACACCAGCCTCCTCGCTGTCAGAATCAGCTACAATCCGCACAGGCCACTGACGGGCCACAACACCATGATTGTTAAGTGAGTCACACGGTCGTTTAGTAACTTCAGTTTCCCCTATTGTCTTTGCTTGTCAAAATACTAGCGAGCAAAATATTTATAATTCTGATACTTCTCAGCCTAAATCAGTGTTTGGGACAACCGATATATGACTCTCACATGTGTTTATCTGAGCTCTTTCTGAATTCAGTTTGTAAATATTAAAAAGCACTCAAGATACATATTTAAACTTCATGGTTTTACTGTTGAAATATCTGCAGTATTTTATGAGCAAATGTTGATCCCATGAGCCCTGCATGCTGCAACTCTGGTAAATACATGCTGGTTGCCAAATTTTGGTCATGTGATCATGGGGATGCTGCGATAATTGTAAGTGTGAGGACTGGTCACAAGCAGGGTTGAAATGCTCCCGGTTTGGACTGGGTCGCCTAATCCGGTAGCAATAGTGGCGGGTGGTTCAGAGAACTAGTAGCAAAAATCCCTGCCCACCCCCATGCCCAGCTGAGCCGCACGATCATCAGACACTTTTTTTTTTAACTTTTAAAAGCATTTTTTCTACAACCTATTTGGCCGAAGAGGTTGTAGAAAAAATGCTTTTAAAAGTTAAAAAAAAAAAGCCTCTGATGATCGCGTGGCTCAGCTGGGATTGTCAGAGCCTTTTAAAAGCATTTTTTTTTTTTTTACATATGAGGAAAAGTTGCAGGAACCGGGTATGTCTAGTTTAAAGAAAAGAAGAACTAGGGGAGACATGATAGCAGTGTTCCAATATCCCAGGGGCTGCCACAAAGAAGAGGGAGTCAAGCTATTCTCCAAAGCACCTGAAGACAGGACACGAAGCAATGGATGGAAACTAATCAAGGAGAGAAGCAACTTAGAACTAAGGAGAAATTTCCTGACAGTTAGAACCATTAATAAGTGGAACAATTTGCCTGCAGAAGTTGTGAATGCTCCAACACTGGAAGTTTTTAAGAAGATGTTGGATAACCATTTGTCTGAAGTGGTGTAGGGTTTCCTGCCCAAGCAGGTGGTTGGACTAGAAGACCTCCAAGATCCCTTCCAACTCTATATTTCTATTCTATTCTAAATTGCATTTGCCTTTCCCAATCTGGTGCCTTCCAGCTGTAATGTCTATGACTCTTCTTAAAGCAAGGAAGGATTTCCAAGCCCTTAAGCGTATCTGGAAAGTATTTGGTGGGGAAGACAAAGTTAAGAGAAAGAGAAGAGATTGGAAAAGTCTCATATAGAAATAACTGAGGACCTTGATTTTAGTACACTTCTATATGTCATAAGGTAATCTACATCATTCTCTTGGATTAATATTACACCGCCCAGAGTCATTCCTGTGAGATGGACAGCCTTATATATGTGATCAATCAATCAATCAAATATGGATCAGAACTTAGTTATCTACCTAATGTCGCACTTTTCAAATTTCATGGCTCAAAGCAATTTATATCTTCTGTAACATTGTAAAGGCTCATAAAATACTGTAGATATTTCAACAGTAAAGCATGAAGTTTAAATATGTATCTTGAGTGCTTTTTAATACCGTGTTTCCCCGAAAATAAGACTCTGTCTTATATTTTTTTGAACCCCGAAGTAAGCGCTTGGCCTTATTTTTGGGGAGGTCTTATTATTTTGGGGCTCGTGGAGCAAGATGGGGCTCTTCTTGCCATCTTACCTGATTTCCAGCTCTGCATTTAAATACTTTCGGGGAGGGCTTATTTTCGGGGGAGGCTTATTTTAGCGTATGCGCTCAAGAGCCCAATTGGGCTTATTATCAGGGGATGTCTTATTTTCGGGGAAACAGGGTATTTACAAGCTGAATTTAGAAAGAGCTCAGAATTACAGATAAACACATGTGAGAATCATATGTACTGTGTTTCCCCGAAAATAAGACCCTGTCTTATATTTTTTTTGAACCCTGAAATAAGCGCTTGGCCTTATTGCCATGCACTCAAAAGCCCAATTGGGCTTATTATCAGGGAATGTCTTATTTTGGGGGAAACAGGATAGGTTGCCCGATCTCTGATTTAGGATGAGAAGTATCAGAATTAAAAATATTTTGACACTGCAAATCACATTTGTATGGCAAGAGCTTTCAACTTGAGCTCTTCCACGCACCTACAGTATATGAAAAAAATATCAGATGCTGCTACATTTTTAACCAAGACATTTGGAAGCTGGAATGACCTTCATGTCAGAAAGTGAATAATGCTTTATTAAATGAGTTAATATTCACAATGACACAGACAAAGCCTGCCCGATAAAAATCTCTTTTATGGCCATGACCTTTGGATATATCTTTCCTGAAAGTAGAGAAGATGGCTGCTGTTGCCAACTGGATGAAGGCCACTGTTTTCCCGCCATTCACCCACCTCTTACCTGTAATAACAATCTCTCATCTCCTATGACGGCAGCTTGATTCCAATTAATCACCTCAGAGAATGGAAGTTCCCATCCGTTGCTGAGCATCACAGGAATACAGGCAGCCTGCATAAAAAAATGTAAGGGGTGGACAGTTTAAATTAATCACATATGAAGAACAGTTGCAGGAATTGGGTAAGTCTAGTTCAATGAAAAGAACCCAGAAATAAGCACTTGGCCTTATTTTCGGAGAGGTCTTATTATTTTGGGGCACGTGGAGCAAGACGAGGCTCCTCTTGCCATCTTACCTGATTTCCAGCTCTGTTACCCTAACCCTAACCAGAGGAAATGGCTGGGACCGGCTGTGCATGCAGTTAAATATTTTCCGGGAGGGCTTATTTTCAAGGGGGGGGGCTTATTTTAGTGCATGTGCTCAAAAGCCCAATTGGGCTTATTATCTTATTTTTGGGGAAACAGGGTAGCGCTTAGACTTATAAACCGCTTCACAGTATTTTACAGCCTTTTCTAAGCAGTTTACAGAGTCAGCATATTGCCCCCAACAATCTGGGTCCTACTAAAAGAGAATATTTGTAGCTCAGGGTTGAAATGAGGGATCCTTGGTGCTCTCTGAGCTTGCTTGTTTTCTTGCAGACATTTCATTACCCTAACTAGGTAACATGTTAGTTTATATTCTGGCATCTTGCCTTTTTGGGTGGGTGGAGCCAGTCTTAGAGATATTTTGGTTGGGCTGTTTACTGATGGCTCTCTGGCAATTTCTTGATTGGGGTATTGCGTACTTGACTGTTGGTCTGAAATTGACCTTGGAGTTAATCTATGCTGATCTGAGTGCTGATTACTGGTGGAGGGGAACTGGAGTCTTTTTCTCTTTTGGGCTGGTTGCTTGTCTCTTTTGAATAGTCTATAGATGTTGTTGGACAGTTGGACCATAAGAAAGGCTGAGCGCCAAAGAATTGAGGCCTTTGAACTGTGGTGCTGGAGAAGACTCCTGCGAGTCCCTTGGACTGCAAGGCGATCAAACCGGTCAGTCCTAGAGGAGATCAACCCTGACTGCTCTTTAGAAGGCCAGATCCTGAAGATGAAACTCAAATACTTTGGCCACCTAATGAGAAGAAAGGACTCACTGGAGAAGAGCCTAATGCTGGGAAAGATTGAGGGCAAAAAAAGAAGGGGACGACAGAGAACGAGGTGGCTGGATGGAGTCACTGAAGCAGTCGGTGTGAATTTAAATGGTCTCTGGAAGGCCTGGAGGAACGTTGTCCATGGGGTCACGAAGGGTCAGACACGACTTTGCAACTAACAACAACAACAACAATAAATGTTGTTAATGTCTATGTGTCTATTGGTGGCTGATTTGTCAGAGTGCCAGGCTTCTAGAAATTCCTGGCATTTTTGGATTTGGCCTAGTCTAGGATTGTCACATTTTCTCAATTGAAACTATGGTTAAATCTGTCTATATGTTGTGAAATTAAAGAATTTTCATCATGCCTTCTGACTGCCAGTTGGGAAAATGTCATTGCCAATGAAAATGAAAATATGTTAAGCATTAGGTATAGGGTTAGGTCCCCTTGAAGTCAGGGCCGAAAACTAAGCTAGGGATAGATTCTTAGAGGTTGTCTAATGAAAGAGAACATGACAGCTTTTCGTTCAAACCTGTGTGTGGACCACAGTAAAAATACATGGGAAAATCTGCCATTGTCAATTGAAATTAGGGTTAGGGTTAGGTCTCACTGGAAACAGGATCAAAAACTGATGTCTGAGATAGATTCTTAGAAATTCTCTAAGGATAGTGAAGGTTACAGCTTTTGGTTTGGACTTTTTTGTGGAGCAGAGTAAATTACATGGGAAAATATGATTGACAATGAAAAGAAAAGTAGTGTTAGGGGTAGGGTAAGTGTTAAGGTTAGGGTTAGGTTTGCTTGGAATCAGAGACAAGAATTGATGTTGGAAATAGATTCTTAGAGATTCTCTAAGAAAAGACATTCTGATAGCTTTTGTTCTGATTTGTCAACTACAGGAAAATGCATAGGAAAATTCCATTGCCAATGAAAATGAAAGTAGGGTTAGGAATAGTGTTAGGGTCAGGGTTAGGTCTCCTTTGACTCAGGGCCAAAAACTGATTTTAGGGATAGTTTCTCAGTGATTCTCTAAGGATAGTGATAGTGGCGGGGAACGTGTGGGGGGCATGCACATGCGCGGGGGCAGGGACCGTGTGGTGGGACCACACATGCGCAGGGGTGGGATGTATGTGCGCTTTGCATTTTGGGGGTTTGGGCGCACGCACGCTTTGGGCACTCAGTCTGGAAAAGGTTAGTTGTCACTGGTGTAGGGTCTCCTGCTTGGGTGGGAGGTTGGACTAGATGACCTACAAGGTCCCTTCCAATGCTGTTAATCTGCCCTGTTAAATCTCCTGACAGGTTAACTGGGGTTTGAGCATTTTCCTTAATCCTCATTATATTAGTCTGGAAGTCAGATGACCCACAAAGTCCCTTCCAACTCTGTTATTCTGTTATAAACTAGAGTTAGGTGTCCTAAGAGTCAGGGCTGATATTAAGGGATAGTGGAAAAAAGAAGTGAAATGCATGTTGTGTGAATTGGATAATTCTGCTTTCTATATTTAACTGTGCAATTTTCAGTATCTTTTTTATAAAATCCTGGTGGATCACTGCATTGTCAAGCACAGAAGTTATAGCAGAAAGATAATTCTCCCAAACATATCTTGGATGGAGTGGGTAGATAGTTTTATTTTGTGTCATTTTAATTGTCCTGCAGCTTCCTTTCCCAGAGAATGTCTAACAAACAGAAATGACCGCTTAAGACTTGTTTAGCGTGCAGTGAAAAAAGAATCTAGGCTAATTTTATAAACCTGTGACTCCATATAAACCTCAAAGTCCCCATTGACTGGACTGCTAAAAACTGAAACATGTTTTCCCATTCCACTTCAGTGGAAGTGTAAAAAATATAGTGTAAATCTTCAGATGAGCACATCTCAGTTAAAAAAAATAAAACAAAACATCCAAATCTCTTGGTGGAACGTCACATCTTCTGAATATGTGATTGGTCAATGTTGTTTTCTGGCTCTGAGAGCCAATATATGGTAAGTGATGTATATTTTCAGCAAAAATATACCATCTTTGCTCCAGAGTAATATTTCTAATTCTATTTGTCCAATGGTCTCTAGGACAATCCACCTTTAAGGAAATATAACAAAATCTCCTGATGGGTGAGAAACTCTTGTGAGTCTCTGCTAATTTTTCCTGAAGAAGAATGGATGCAGAAGAACAGAGTTGGAAAGGACTTTTAGAGGTCATCTAGTCCAGAGGTTCCCAACCTTTTTTGCACCATTGATTCGTTTCGTGGAAGACAATTCTTCCAAAGACCGGGTGGGGTGGGGGAAGGTTTCGGGATGATTCAAACACATTACATTTGTTGTTAACTTTATTTCTATTATTATTACATTGCAATACATGATGAAATAATTATACAACTCGCCATAAATGCAGAATCAGTGGGAGGCCTGCCCTGAGCTTGTTTTTTTCCCTGCAACTATTGAGTATATTTATCATAACTATTTCATTGATTGGTAATGAAAAGCAAACCCTCCTGAAAGCTGGGAGTTTCTGCTGGTTGATCTGAAGAACTTCAGAGAGGCTTGTAAAGGGGAAAAGCAGAAAGAAAAAGAAAGAAAGAAAGAAAGAAAGAAAGATAGGAAGGAAGGAAGGAAGGAAGGAAGGAAGGAAGGAAGGAAGGAAGGAAGGAAGGAAAGGTAGTTCTATGTTGAACTTATGCAAAGCCAACTTTTATTGAACCCTTAGTTGTGTCTTTTTATTTTTCTCCTTTACAAGCCTTTCCAAAGTTCTTCAGATCAACCAGTGGAAAGCTCCAACTTTCAGGAGGGTGCGCTTTTAATCACCAATCAGTGAAATAGTTATGGTAAATATACTCAATTAGATGCATAGTTTCCTCCTCCAGCCCCCACTCCCTCTCTTCACTTGGGCCCTTTCAATTCTCTGAAGCTGCTCCAACAGTCTTCGGCTAAACACACGAGGGAAGGAGTGGAGGAGGCACACTCTTTTGGAGGGCAAATCCACATGTCCTCTCCTCTCCATGTACATGTGTGTGAACATGTTTCTATCATGTATGGAGGAGGAAGGGAGGGAGAAAAAAGAGGAGGAGGTTCCACTTGCCTCTGGCATCTGGCTTGGGGAAATAACAGTATCTCACTCGTGGCAAATTGTCCTGCAGGGCGCGTTGCCCCACGGTGAGTCACCTGAGGTAAATTGGCTGGAGTGAGCAGGCGGTGGTGAGAGTGTGGCTGTGAATTATTCCATTCCGAGCTGAGGCAGTGATATTAGCATTGGGGGTGGGGGGGAAGCTGCAAATAAGATGAAGCTTTACTTGCTCACCCGCCACTCACCTCCTGCTGTCCCAGTTCCTAGCAGGTCATGGACCGGTACCAATCCATAGCCCGGGGGTTGGAGGTCCCTATTCTAATCATACCCCTTACTCAAGCAGGACACCCTATACATGTGATGGTGAACCTATGGCACGTGTGCCAGAGGTGGCCCAGAGAGCCCTCTCTGTGGGCACGCGCACCAATGCCAGTTGCTCTTCCGGGTTCTGTCATGCGCATGCACACCGGCCAGCTGATCTCTTCCGGGTTCTGGCGTGCATTTGCGCACACTCCAGTTTCGGCACTCAGTGCAAAAAAGGTTAGCCGTCACTGCCCTATACTCTTCCGGACAAATAACTAACCAATCTCTTCTTAAAAATCTCCAGTGTTGAAGCACCCACAATTTCTGAAAGCAAGCCATTCCACTGAAATATAGTTTCTGCTCTGCTCTTCCTTTCCCTGTCACAATATTACCCAAGACAGAATTTTACTTGAGAAAAAAAGCTTAAATAGAGCTAAAATGTCTATTGTTTTTACCTGCAGGGCCTCCAAGAACCTGAAGGATCCAAGCCTCCGGCCACGGGGGACCAGACAGAAAGTGGCATTGTGCAGCATTTCACGATAATCATATCTAAGGGAAAAGAGAATGAAATAATAAATTAATAATGAATCCCAAGATAATTGCGCACGAAAATATAAATATCTGGCAGTGAACATCTGTTGTTAAAATAATTTCTGGACAATTTCACTTCTGTAAAGGTGAAGTAAGATTAAGAACAAAAAAAAAAGAGTAAGGTAAAATGCATACATTCGTTTTCTGAGTCCATGCGTTCAAGCAGAGTACATGGTAGGAGCACCTTACAATTTATTCTTATTTTAAAAACTAAGGAAGGAAGAAAATTCACCCATGACCTATAGAATAAAAAGATGCAGAATTTTTGATTCAAAATGCATATTGGGATGATGACGATGATGACCAACGCCTAGAATTTCCTAGCCAGCATGGTTGACTGGGGAATTCTGGGAGTTGAAGTCCACGTAATTAAAAGTGGCCAAGGTTAAGAAAGCCCGGTCTAAATAGCTTAGTCCTGTGATCCTATGAACAACACAGGCTAATTTTCAGACACAGACAAGTATGAATATGTTACCACATGTTGTTTATCACTACTTTTTCTGCTATTGCTAACCTTCTTACTAGGGAATTCTCTGTCTGCATTTCCAGAAAACAGTTGGGAATAGAACAAGTAACTCACTGGCACAACAAATCAGGATCCAGATAATTTTCTGTCAAGGTTTGTTTTTCATTGGAAAGATCACCAATTGCAGTTCTGGATTACACAACTGGTCTATACAAGCAGAGTTCTGTTTGGTTTTAAATCAGTAGTTTGGTGAACTTCTCCATGATCACTTTTAAAGCATGAATATTGGTTTAGCTTGTCATTTGAACCCTGGCAATGGTGATTAATTCAATAAATTGAACTGAATCACACAAAATCTTGATGTGATCTGTGAGAAATAAATCATTTTATATTTTGTAGGAATAGCACTGTTGTTGGAAAGATTGTAGTTTGAATCCAAGCTGGGCCATGGTTAAAGCAGTCTACCAAAATCAATAGACAAATTTAGTCCATTGATTTTGATTGCATACTCTATCCTGCACCTAACTTTGTCTATTCTTTTTGCCTTTATTACGAATTTTACTTTCAAAGTGGAAAATGCCTTTTAGACAGGATAGGATAAACATTGTAATAACTTCTGATATATTTTATAATGCATTTATGCAAACCTAGCTTAACTAGTAAGAACTTGTCAATGTTGCCTGATCTTGAAACACTAGAAAAGCTATGATTTGGTTAATAATTGGATAGGATATCACCAGGAAATATATCTAGACTGAAAACAAAAACATCTATCTATCATCTCTCTCTCTCTCTCTCTCTCTCTCTCTCTCTCTCTCTCTCTCTCTCCTACCTACCTACCTTCCACCCACCCATCCTCCTCTATCTATCTATCTATCTATCTATCTATCTATCTATCTATCATCTGAACAATTGATTTTATTTTCAAATATCTGAATAGAGAAAAATGGATAAAAAACATTGGAGACTTATTTTGTCATACATAACCTGTAATTAATGAATTAATTTAATGCTGTTCATTTCATAACTGTTCTATGTTTTCAATTGAGATATACAGTATATTGATCCGGAAGCTTCACAATCAATGCATCAACTTCTTGTCGAGAGAGAAGAAAATCTAATATCCAGTCAAAGCCACCAAGATTAATCAGTCAGCAATAAAAATCCTCTTAATCAACCAGGAAAGGACAAAGAATGAATCATATTGTGCAGCTATGGGTCAGCAAGCATGAATTCAATGAGAAAGAGGGACAATTCATAACGTTTATCTTCCTTATAACATAAGGAGACCTTATAACATTTAGGAGACTAAAGAGAAAAATAAAAATAGGCAACAATTTAAAGTGTTGTTCTTCCAGTGTGCCTCAAAGTTAATGCATTCAGCGACATCCGACTTTCTTTTAAATTCCAACGAACTTTTGCAAAAGCTTTTACCCGCCCCCCCAACCCCCCTCCCCACACATTAAAAGTTTCAAGCCAGATTGTAGCTAATGGTACTTTTGGCAAACCTGTAATGACTTGGAAAGTGCCGACTGCTAAACTGATGTCAAGAAAGCCAAGATTAAATATCTCTTCCTACCGCTCCTCTCTAGCTTGAACACCGATACATTTATTTCTCCAGAGACTTTTGCAAACTGCAAATAGGTACTACTTTGACAGTTAAAATCATGCAGCAAAATTTACCCAACCCTAATAATCTCATTTAATCATAGCCTGGAGGCACTGATTTTTTTTTTAAAAAAACCCCTTCTTTTTGTATTGGGCAGGGGAAAAGAATAGAATATACAGAAATGGAAATTCAGCTCTATTTTTATATTTATTCTCCTCGAAGATACAAAGACAGGTGTTAAGCTAATTTTGATAGGACTCATCACAAGGAAGTCCGCCTGCTTTAAACAAGGGTGTATAATTTGCATGAGAAAGGGTCCTTGAAATAAGTTAAGATGAACTTCATGAAACCCAATTAAACGTACTTTTCTGTTATTTAAAACTACAAAACATCTAAAAGAAAGGGGGGAAAAATCTTCTATCTTTTCCTCCGCTATCTTTAATCTCAGTCTTTAATTTCTCATTTATGTCTGCGCAAAACCAAATTTCATTCCAAAGTTGATCAGCCAATTGTTAAGTTTTCAGTAGATTTCCCCAATCATATCTTTAGTGTAGCATGGAAGAACGGACAAACTCACTATATAGCGTCTATTCTGAGACTGACTGCAAAATAACCAGAAAAGGGAAAAGACCTTATTTATCTGCTCCTATTGCCTTTAGGATTTCAGTATAGAACAATCAAAATGCTACCATGGAATTGTAATTTAAGCATTTGTACGCTGCTTTGCGTTTTAAGAACAAATCTTGAATTTTTAAGGTGGCCAAATGGGGATAAATGATGAAACACACAGGGAAGAATAGAAAACAGGATTTAATTTATAATTTTAACAACATTTAGTTTAAATCAGATTTAGTTCTGGCTTACTCCTTTGTCCTGCATTTCATTCCCAGAGTCCTTGGAAAGCCTCTTAAAAGGCCAACTGTTCCAACCACCAAACACTACATCATTCTTGCATAGATGCCATGCTAATCTGCTCTGCATTGTTCCAATTTTAGCATACAGGCTGCCCAAGCAAGCATAACCTGAGTTTTCCTGTTTTAGCATCAACCTGATGTGTAGATGCTCTCAATACTTCAGTAAAAGCATTAAGCTTGGCTGCCCATTTCCACACCTCACTGCAGCCTGCAGTACAAATACAAGGTAATGTGACTTTGAACTAAGCATGGCTCCTGATTACATTGATCAAACCTGCAGTTTTCTTGGGAGCAGCCACTGACTTCCTCTAGCATGTATTCCCAACTTGCCATTTCATCCTTCAGCCCTGGGATTTCTTATCCAGTTACTAAACTAGGTACACAAAGCATCCCCCCCCCCCTTTAAAAAAAAAAAAAGCAAACTGTTTGCAATCATTCTGAAGGGCCTAGTGGCTCAGTAGACTGATAGCATTGTGATTAACACCAGCTGTCTGCAATTACTGTAAGTTCGAATCTCACCAGGCTCAAGGTTGACTCAGCCTTCCATCCTTTCTAAGGTAGGTAAATTGAGGACCCAGATTGTGGGGGCAATAAGCTGACTTTGTATAAATATACAAAAGTATGAAGGCTATTGCTTAACGCACTGTAAGCCACCCTGAGTCTCCGGAGAAGGGCGGCATATAAATCAATTTTTTTTTTTATAAAAAAACGTGTTGGTGTAGGGCTGTTTACTGAAGCTAAGATATGTCATTTTATCAGGCTTCCCAACAAAACCTCTGCAGTAAAAATAAAACGAAAGTGACCCACATTCTGCATCATGGAAGTACAGAATTCTGCAATTATGCAAAGGGATAGAAGGCGTATTTTCTTTTATTCTGCAACACTGATGAGTTTACAGAAGGTGGAGGAGGAGGAGGAGGAAGAAGAAGAGAAGGAGAAGGAAAAGAAGGAGAAGAAGTTTTCTGCTTCTCAGTCACCTTTTTCCTTATTCATCAAACATCTTCTTTTTCAAGATATACTGCATGGAGAAAAGTCCCAAAAGTGCTTTTTCAAGAGGCAATTGGACTTTCTGATTTTTTGTTGAAGACTTTTCGCTTCTCATTCAAGATGCGAAACAATGAGTGAGAATTTCCATAGACATTTGCATGGAGAAAATTTTTCCTTGCATCCAAGTATATGCATTTCTCACTAGGATCCTATGTCATCCATGTAAAACACACTTAAAGTTTAGAAAAGCTACAGATTTTAGAAATGGACATTTCTAGCAGCCATGTAAGGACCTTCCAAGTACTGAAAGAAAAAAAAGCGGAAAACACACTTTGTTATTTAGCACTTCCACCATCTCAACTAGAAACTGGTAATTTTAGAATTCTATCTAGGTAAACAATTTTAAAACTGGAAATCCTTGAAATGTTCAAAGAACAACGTGATAGCAATCTCTAGTCTGAAGACTCTTAACAATTAGGGGAAAGAACGTAGCTCAATGAAGAAACATTACCAGCTAGGTGCAAAACCCCTAAACTCAGATAATATGGAATATTTCCAAGAGATGAAAGGAATATCCCTGTCTTTCTACAGATCCTTTTCTCTCTCATTTCCTGGCAAGTTTTGAATGCTGCTGAAGAAAAGGAGAGGGCGTTTTCCAAACCTATAAAATGCATATTAGTCAAGAGATCCTTCAAGGCCTCTAAATGCTGGTCTCCAAGGAAGGAAGAAGACACTTTTTGCTCCACTCCATTTTAGAAGAGTCGAAGCATTGATTTTTGCAGAAATAAATGAATCGTCTTAGATCCTCATTATCCAAAGTGATTGACAGACCACTTTTCAGTGTTGGACCGACCCTTCGTACATATAAATTGTATGTTCTACTACTTTGATCCTTTAGGAGTCAGGAGCACACGCTTTAGAAAGAGGACACTTAAAAATCCATTGAATTAAAGATCAAAGGGATGTAGTCTTGCTCACCTAC